TTTCATGGGCACCCTCCTCATGCTGCAAAGATCAGGGGTAGGTGCAAGGAAGGGTGAAAGCAAAAAGGTCTGGTTAGGGGTATAAGGAGGGATTCTTGTGATTACCGAGAAGGGAGACCTCGCAGGAAGTGGGCCTAATCAGGCCTAACACTGAACCTTGCTTGCCCCTCCCACAAAAAGGAGGTTCAGGCTTCAATTTCCCATTTGGGTGGCTGCAGATGCTTTGCTTGATAGAACTGATGTTTGCAAGGGGGCATATCCCCCATCCTGGCACTCAGGGTGGCTCTTCCAGGCGTGTGTGTGTGTGTGTGTGTGTGTGTGTGTGTGTGTGTTAAACCCAGGCTAAAGCCTGGGATGGGGACTGTGGAAGGATGATGGGATAGAGAGAGGGCATAAAGTTATATGATAAAGGGTTAGATCAAAAAATGGAGTTAAAAATTTAATCACCTAAACTTCATAATTTCTTTTTGCTTGGTGTTTTTTCCCCCATATAATTATCTAGACAACTTGAATTGTCTTTTAACCCTCCCATATCTCCATGGAATTAAGAGAAGGGAAACAGTTTTGCTCCTTACCCAGGCTAGGGAAATTCTGAAGACTCTAGAGGCTAGGCACGAATTGATGGCAGTACAGAAAGCCCTCCTCGGCTAGGGGTAAGGAAGCCCTTTGGGAGCAGGGAAACCCTGAGTGAGATCTGGGGCTCAGCTGCAAGTGCTTCCCAAGTAGGAACACTTGGGGCCTTTCCTTACAAGTGGTGGCAGCAGTGGGACGGAGTATGAAGTACAGAAAAGTTAAGAAAGCCTTGGCTGAGACTAGAGAGCAGGTCTTTTAAGGGTCCCATTTCCTCTTGGAAGCACCTGGGGGATTTTACAGACCTGATTCTTGGACTAACACCACAGGCTGGCTCTCTCTTCCCCTAGTTTCAGATGACTGACTCTAGGGATCTGTTCTCCTCATTTAATTTGTTCCATATAAGGGATCTGGACATTTCTGTCTACATGAAGGGCAGGTTTGAGGTGGGGAGTCATGACACAGAACACATGTGCCCAGAGACATGGCCTCTTTCCTTAACACATGAAATATATGTGCCCTGTCTCCCTAACACATTCCAGGAAGTTCTTTTCTAGGGCTTCCCCAAACCCTCCCAGACATGCATGCTTACTCTCTTCTTCCCTAATGCCCTCTAGCTCCCCGTCCTACTACTTCAATGAAGTCTCATCTCTTCATCCACTTTTCCTTCTGAAGTACCCCCCAGAACAAATCAATCTCTTTGGGCAGTTGAACTTGGACTCATTTGTCTCCTTAGATGCCCACTTCACCAACATCACTCAGATAAGGGTCTCCTTTTACCTTTCCTCTTCCACTACTTGCCATTTTCTCCACCAGAGACAAGATCCACAGGGAGGGTAAGGGGGATCTTAGCAGTTCTTCCCTATTCAGTCCCACTGAAACACCATAATGGGAAGGAAAATGGTTATGAAGGGCCTTATCTCCATCTTCCACCTTCTATCTCACCTTTGTGTGATTAAAAAAAAAAAGAGATCATATTTGAGGACAACCTCAATTTTGGTTCTATCTCATTTCTGATCCTGAAATTCATAATGCCCTAAGGAAGTGATCTGATGGAGCTAAATCTTCTATGGGGTTTCTTGCCCAGGAAAAGGCTCCCCCTCACTACCTTCCTTCAGTCTCACTGGATCTGATAGAGTATTGGGCCTCCTGCCTTGCATGCTCTTCATTCCCCTTTTCCTTGATTCCCCATATTTCCCTCCGCTGACCACCCACATCACTTGCCTCCCTTCACAGATGGTATACAGGAGCTCAAATCAGTACCTGATCAGGTGGTTGATCAGCCGGATAACCTTATTTCTAGTCTGATGAGGGGGGAGAGAGACTAAGAACTCATTCAAACCTTTCATGCTGGGCCCCCAGTGTCCCCTCCCACTCTAAGCCCAATCTTGTGCTGTGGGAGTAGGGAGATTATAAATTGGGGCCTGTGGAACTGAGGCTACAACTTAACAAGTGAATGAGGACCACCCCTGCTCTGAGAACTGCTTCCCCTCCCCACAAGTGCCTTTATCCCTGTCTCATTTGTGTTTTTCACTAGCTTCTGTCACCCTTCCCCACCCCTACTCTATGTCTCTTGAAACCAAATGTATAGCTGGAAGTGCAGAAGATGAAAATGAATAGTTTATGCCTCAAAACAGAGAAATACTCAATTGTGACTCTCCCTACTAACAACCACCTAAGTCCTTGACCCTCACTGATTCCTGATTTTGATTGCAACTTAATTCCCTGACTCTCCTACAGGACCTCCAATGATGACCTATCTCTCCAGTCAGAACCAAGTTCCTTCCAGCTGGACTTGATAGGAATACTTTTATGGTGGTTTGTTCAGGCCAGTTTCCATCTTTTGACAAAATTCTGCTTGATCTCCTGCGGTTTGCAGTAGGAAGAGATAGGGAGAGCCCCAGAAGGAGAGATTCAATAACTCTATCACCTTCCCCACTAGTATTCCCTCTAGTATTTATACTCTCTTCACTGTCTTCTCCAGCCATTTCTTCAGCCTGGCTGACTACATCAGAGATGATGCCCTAGTGTAGAGATTCTTGATCGGGGAGTCTAAGGACTTCCTAAGAAGTCCATGGATAGACTTCGGGGGGTCCATTAACTTGGATGGCAAAAAGATTACATCATTATTCACTAAGCTCAAACTGAAATTTACTACTTCCTTCAAATATTTAAAAACAATATTCTGAAAAGGGGTTCATAGGCTTCCAAAGAGATCCATGACACCAAAAAAGGTTAAGAACCCCTGGATTAGAGATTTGTGCTCTGGGATCCCACCTTCCTAACTGGTAAAGCCTTTCTCAATTTCAGGACAACCCTAGCCACTAATGCTTTACTCTCTCCTTTCCAGATACCTTGGGAGTACCCTTCCCACCCCTTCCAGTCCTGGAACCTTGAACCATAATCAAATCAATTCTGACATTGTTCCTGGATGGGGTGTGTCAATCTACTCTCTAATGGCCCCACTCATCCCAACTTTCTAGACCAATCTCTGAGAACAGAGATTGTCAGTACAGTGCTTAGAATACAGTATGCATTGAAGTGCTTTTTCTTTCTGACTCTCTGGGAAAACACTGAACCACAGCATGGAAAGTTGTTTGAGTTCCTGTAAGTAAAGTAACAGGGCTATCAGTATTAAAAGTGACCACCAGGGGGTACTGTGCACTAAAAGGGAGAATCTTTCTGAATCAGTCCCAATGAATAGCCTTCCACTTCAATTCCTCAACAGTCTTGGAATGTTGGTGCCCCCTAGTGGGAGCAGTGAGAGCAACACGGCTTTCCTACTGAAGGGCCAAGCCACTGTCCTTTGGCCTTGCTCTTCACTTCCTGGCGCCTAAGAGTATCTGATTGGCGGATGAGGAAACTGAGGCATATAATATTCAAAAGGGACTTCCTGATAACACCACCTCTTCCCTCCTCCTTAAGTCCAAGTGAACACATCCCTAGAGCAGTCCCAGAATATATAGTTTCCTAAACCAGATCTAAAGTGTCTCTCAAACAGGAATGCATTTAGCATCTTCTACTCCTTCCGTCTGGGGCCTACTCATCTGGCTTCTCTCTGACTTTGGTCATGAGGACAGCTCATATCAAGAGCTAAAGGATTCAAACTATCTATAGGATATGCTTCAAAGCCCACCATAAACATGATTTTTGGATTAAAATTTGTTTCCGGTCATTTATAAATCCTCTTCCCCATAACCTTCATTGTGTATAAGACACAGGTTTTTGTGTTATTCTATCAGTGTAGGTCACACACCTTCATTACAGCTGTGTTCCCCTTCCTGCCTATATTCTACCCCAGAAGAGGGTATGGTAACAAGGTTTGAGGGTGCTGTAGGGCTCTAACTTTTTGAGTTGCTCTTCATAGTTACATTTAAGAGACTCTGCTTGTATTGTCTAAAAAATCCTGTCCCTCTCACTCCAAATCTTAGGATCAGTGCTAAAGGAAACTACTGATAGTTTCTCCCCAGAGTGCTAAATTTTAGAGCCCCAGGAAATAAGGGGAGGGGCCTATCCCCTTTCCCCATGCCTTACTTCCTGGGATCCTGGTCTGGAAAGTAGTAGAATCAGAGCCCAGGTATAAGAATAATATTAATAAGAACTAGCATTTATATAATGCTTTAATATTTGCAAAGTGTTTTATCATCTCATTGTATCTTCACAAGAACCCTGGGAGGTAGGTAGTATTATTACCCCCATTATAGAGATGAGGAAACTGAGGCAGGAAACAATTAAATGACTTGCCCAGGGCCACACAGTCATTGTCTGGGGCCAAATTTGAACTTAGGTCTTCCTGATTCTAAGTCCAGTGCTCTAGCCACTGTGCCACCTAGGGGAGACCAGGCCTAAGTGGAACTTGGGTTACTCACTGACTTTTATGGTCAAAACATACAGATTTCTTAGTTACTGACTTTTCTAGGGATCAAGATCCCTGTGATCAGACCTCAGATCCAGGGGCAGGTGAGTGCTAAGAGCTGAGGTGGGCAAGGTGATAGGCCATTGATGGTTTCTGTCAACCTGGCACTCTTCAAGCCTGTAACTGGGCTCAGCATCTCTAGGGCCTTATTTCTGTCTTCTGGGAGAGCTATGAACTTGGTGCTGACTTCCAAGAATCCTTGTTACTACTGAAATTAGCAGGATTCCTTTCTCATTCCTCTGTTACAAGACACCACCCGCCTTAAGTCTACATTTCATCCTGGGAGCTTCTACTGGAAAAGTTCTCTCCCACTCTAGTTGGTTTCCACCCTCTCTTTCCCATCCAAGGGTCAGTTCCATTAGTGGGTGAGAAGACAAACCCTGCTGAGGGGTTGGGAAGGTCAGAGAAGAGCTCCCTGAAATGGACTGAACAGACTGAGCTGGGGAGCTGTAGTTCCAACTTATCAGATCATCGTTCCCTTCACCCCCCTTCAATCACATACAGACACTCTTGCTTCCTTTACCCGTATATATTTAAAATCTTCCCAGGGAAGAAAAGTATTGCACACACTGGGGAAAATAGGACCATACCATGAATCACTCTCAGCATCTGAAGGGAATCCTGAGTTCCACCCTCTTATAAGGGAGTGGGAAAAACTGATTAGACCCCTCCCTCTACCCTTTGACCCCAAGTCTCAGTCAGACTCAATTCCATTGAACTCCTGGCTCCAGGCTCCTACCTCGGGCTACTGTGGCCCACTGACGGGTAGTGCCTGTCCTTGGGGTGGGAAGGACAGGCACCAGAGTCCCACAGAATATCCTCGTAGGGGCTTGGGGCCTGTGCTCCGGACCTGGCCTGTTCCAGCAGGCCTCTCAGGAGTCCCACTGTGAGTGGAGGGTCAGCTCCCACCTTAGGGAATGGGGTTGGAGGCTCCTCTTCATCTGGCAGGTGCCTCTTCAGCAGGAGCAGAAGGTCTGTGGGTGTCAAGTCTGGTGGGCACAGACGGCGCAGGCAAGTCAGGTGGGCATCTAATTGGCGATGCCGAGCAAATTCGGCTAGTAAGACAGTGAAAATCTCCATTTGCAGCAAGGAGCTGGTTGGGCTCAGGGCCAGGCCTGCATCCAACACCCGTTCCCACTGTCCAGCCTGAACTAGCTGCCCTACAGCCTGGAGCACAGCCTTGGGCCGGCCACTTCCCAAGAGCAGCTCTAGCTCTAGAGCCCCTGCCCTGGCCCCAGCCCAGTCACCCAGTACGGCCAATGCCCGTCGGTACAAGGGCGGTCCCGGGCCTCCAGCTCCTAACCCCCAACCTGGCCCCCCCTGCTGTTGTGCCAGTTCTACAAATGGTGGCAACCAACATGGCTCCAGCCGACAAAGGCACTGACACAGGAGTTCAAAGGGGGGTAGTGCCCCATCAGCCCCTGTGTCTACTAGCACCTTCTTCCACAAGTCGGGAGGGGCCCGGGACTTCAGCTGGCCAGCCTCATCCAGTTGCAGCTGTAGGGCTCGGCGTGTAGAACACCAGGCAGCAGCAGGGAAGACAGAAAAGACAGCATTGAGCTGGGACAGTTTGTCCCCTGTTAGATCTGATCGTAGCAGCCGCTCTACTTCTCGTTCGGCCAGCTCTGTCCATCCTTCCTCTTGCCCATCCCCAGCCACTAAGCGGGTTTTGAGCCGCTCTAGGCCATGGTAGTCCCTTAGTTCAGCTTGCAAATCACTCAGCAGCTTGGTTGGGGGTTGGTGACCTCGGAGAACAGCAGCTAGGGCCAGCGGGGCTCGAAAAGTACTCCCTTTTTTCAACTCATCAGTTGTAAGTCTAGCTCCAAGTAGACTCCGGCGCTGGTAGTAGCCACAGGCCTCCTCAAAAACTAAGTCCTCAGAGTTTAGCCACTCAACCTCTCTCCCCATCTCCCAGCCTATACAGAATAGGCCACTTGCAGAGAGCAGCCTAAGCCCACCTTTATTCTCCTCTTCTTCATCAATCCCTGGGGCTGAGAGCCCCAGCAGGTGGACTCTGTCAGTGCTTAAGACTTTTCTTTCTAGAAGCCGTCCACTGCCCATGTCCAGCAGCTCAAGACCAGAGCCCAGCACACAGGCCAAAGTGTTGCTGAAGATACCCAAGGACACTGGGACTCCCTGGCTAAGCAGTCCATACCCCAGGAAGCCCACTGCTCTAGCTCCTCCATCCCTCCGGATGAGACTCACAGCCCCCTTTGGGCTCAGCAACAGCAGGCTCCCTTGGGCAGCTGCACAGGTGTGGATGTCTAGGGGCTCCCCACCAGAGAGCAGTCCTGGTACCCTCTGAAGGAGGGATCTGAAATCCCAGGAGTCCCTGTCTTTAGGGCTCAAGTTCCTGCTATGAGTAAGGTTGTGAGCAGGGACAGCTACAGTTACCCTGCCCTTACCTGGGTACCAGATCAGCAAGATGTGGGCTACACTGGGCCAAGTGTTAGCTGTAGGCACCATGAAGAAGTCAGAACGGGAGGCCAGCAGCTGGAAATGAGGGCAGTGGTGCAGCAGGGTCTTGGGGGCACCCAGAATTGCACTGGTCTCCCCGTGGGGCTCCAGGGCCCGAGTGCACACACAGTGACTGAAGGCAGCTTGCACTGATCCTTCCGCTACTTCAGTGCTGGCTGGCCGCTCCTCACACCACACTAGCCGGTTTCCCAGAGCCGCTATTGCTACCACTTTGGCCTTGCTACTCACACACAATTCGGCCTGCTGCAGCAGCTGCCATCCTGGGTGCACTCCAGTGCCCCATACCTCAGCTCGCCCGCTGGCCCACACCAAGGCAAGCACAGGACGTGGGCCGCTGGCCCATCCTGGGCACTGGAGAAAGAAGGCATCTAGCACTGGGCCTTGGCCAGCCAGACAGGAGGGTTCCAGCCCCAGCCCTGCCCCCTTTCTGGACACCAGAAGCAGTGGGGCTGGAGAGCCCGGAGGGCGCAGAAGCAGCAGGTGGCGGCCGTCCGGGGTTGAGCGGACCCGGACGAGAGACTCCTCCGCCAGCACTTTGCGGAGCAGGCTAGCGTTAGTGAAGTCGCTCAGGTCCGAGAGCAGACGCAGAGTGCTTGCCCGCTTCATGGCCCCCCGGGGCGAAGGGCGCCGGCCTGGGAAGAGGTTGGAGAGCGCACTCTGGGAGGCTTGGGGCGCCGCTGGACTGAGTCAGACTTTATTGGGTTCGGGCGTTCCGTTCCGCTTTCTGGTCGTTCGGGGCCCGCTAGGGCACGGAGTTCCGAAAAGGAGGGTGGCCGATCCTTCGACTTCCGTCCCAGCGGATGAGGTGGGCTAAGGACTTTGGGGGGGGGGGAAGAGTCAGCCCCGCCCAGAAGGCTTGCGTGAGTCCGGCGCATCGCCGCACGGGAGCCCGCCGTGGGGCGGAGCCAGTGGAGTCCTCCCTCTCCTCTGGCCCCAGCACTTTCACTGTTCCGACTGGGCTTTCCCAGTGTTGTGTCTGGTTTATTTTTCCAGCTAGTCCACTGATTGATTCTCCAACCTGCGTTGGGGCTTGGCGGCTTCCTCATCTGTGCACCCTTCACACTTGCATCTCATATATACTTTCTGGAGGAGACCACCATCCATCCCCATTCTTTCTTCTCCAAGGTACTCTAACTTAAAGCCCAGCACTTCCCGAAAGCCAAGCCAAAAAGTCCCCACTTTACCACATCCCATCCACACTTTAGTTTGTCATTTCCCTAAAGTACATGATGTCCTCCTAATTAAACCTCCTCTTTGGAAAAGGAAACACAAAATGTCTGCTCATTTGTTTTTAAATTTTAATGAAAAATATTTTATTTATGCACTTTTTATGTCATGGTCATTTCCAGATACACCTCTCTTCACTAGTGAACCCTCCCTAGTAACAACAACAACAACAACGACCACCACCACCATCTAAGTAAAAGCCAGATTCCGGCAGACAACAAATTTAACGTTCACTGTCAGAGGAGAGAGCTATAGCTGTTCTCTTCGACACTGCAATTACTCTGGTTTCCTTTTAAGTGATCTCATTTGCATTACTGCAGTCTTGTATATTGTTCTCCTGGTTCTGTCAGCATCAGTTTATGGCTTCAGATTTTTCCATCTTTTTTCCATCATTTTTTCCAGAGGGCCCAATAAAATTTTATTGCATTCGTATGACACCAATTCTTCAGCCATTCCACAATCAACAGGCACCCACTCTGATTCTTTGCCACCACAAAAAGTGCTACTATGAATATTTTGGGGCCGTGTTAATTTGATTTCACTAAGGTTTATACTATGGACAGGGCTGAGCACTGGACATCTGGAGCTGACAAGTGAATAAGACCTAGTTCCTTCTGTTAGAAGAACTCACAGTCTAGGGAAGGAGGTGACTATAATAAAAGGCTCACAGTCTGGGGAGGGAAGTAACTATAATAAAAGGCAAAATGGGACAAATGCTGAGAAAGGTATAAGCCAAATGTTATTTGAGTTCAGAGGAGGGAGAGGATTCAGGGAAGGAATTTTAGTTGAACCTTGAAGGATGGCTAGTACTTCAACAGCCTAGTGGTGGGGGTAGGTGTGGAGGTGGGGTGAGGCAAGGCAGTACAATCCAAGGACCGTGGAACAGTGTAAGCAGAGGCACAGAAACTGCTGTGGTGTTTGGAAATTTGGGGATTTGAGGGGGGGAGGGGACCGTGGGTTCAGTGTGGCTGGAAGGTACAGGACATCAGGGGAATAGTGGGAGAGATAGAATGGGGTATGCAGTAGACTTCCAGTAGTGGACTTGAGAGTCAGAAGATTTGGAATTAAGACCTTGCCCTATGTGAACCTAGCTGTGTGAACCATGGCAAGTCATTCAACCTCTCTGAGCTTTGGTTTCCTCATCTGTAAAATGGGGATAATAACTCTTGAATTACCTATTTTCTCTCCCCATTCCAATCTATTCTCTACTTAGCTGCCTAGATGATTTTCCTAATGCTTAGGTCTGACTCTCCTCCCACAATGAGCTCCAGTCTACCTCAATAAACTCCAGGATCAAATATAAACTCCCTTAAATGCTAAAGCATTTAAAGCTTTTTATAAACTGGCTCCTCCTAGATTTCCAGTCTTACACCTTCTGCCTTCCAGCAATAAAGGCCTACTCGAGGTTCCTTTCAAAAGACACTTTATCTCCCATTGTAAGGCATTCACCCTGGACTGGAATGCTGCCTCTTAATTTGCTCTGCTTCCTTCAAGATTATCTTCCACCTACTTTGGGTATATCTTGTACCTACCTAGTTATTTACTTGTTGTTCCTTTGTTAGAATGCAAGTTCTTTGAGGGCAGAGACTTTTACTTTTGTTTTTTGTTTTCCTATCTGCTGGTGCTTAGCCAAGTACCAGCTACTTTGTTGTTCAGAAGTGACTGGCTCTTTGTGATTCCTGTAGACCATAGCACACCAAAGCTGTCCATGAGGTTTTCTAGGCAAAGAAACTGGAGTGATTTGTTATTTCCTTCTCCAGGGAATTAAGGCAGAAATTAAGTGACTAGTCCAGGTCATACATTTAGTGTCTGAGGCTAAATCTGAACTCAGGTCTTCCTGACTCCAAGCCCAGGGCTGTGTCCACTGAGCCACCTAGCTGCTTTGCTTTGTAAAGGTTTAATAAATGCTTGTTGAATGATTATGGGTTGTTGTGAGGGAAGTACTGTACTTTGTGAACTGTGTGTCTATCTCCTCCCTCTTCCAGGAGCCTGCTTTTCTTGGCTCCCCATTATTCTACTGTCAGATACCACAAAAAAGTTTGTTCAAGACCTCCCTCTGCATTCTCTGCCAGATATTTAGTTTTGTTTTGTTGCTAGGCAATGGGGTCAAATGACTTGCCCAGAATCACACAGCTAGAGAATGTTATGTGTTTGAGGCCACATTTGAACTCAGGTCCTCCTGACTCCAGGGTCAGCGCTCTATCCACTGCGCCACCTAGTTGCCCCTCTGCCAGATATTTAGAACCACAGAATACAACTTCATATTAAATGATTAAAAAGTTCGTGATATTCAGGATTAGAGTCCACCAAGTTGACCTTCAGTTTCACTTAATAGTTTCTTTCTTTCTTTATTTATATAATTTGCAGATTCTCCTTTGCATAGAAAATCTCTGTCTCTTGCTTTTTCTTGTCACAGCAAGAATGAAGAGTGGAAGAAGCAGAATTAGACCATTGCTTTCCTAAATTTTTTCCCACCTCCAGGTTCAGGCCAAGGCAAAGGAGAAGGGGTAGGAATGAGCTTAAAAGCCAGGTGTGATAGCAGGAAAATACAAAACAAAACAAAACCAAAAAACCAAACCCAGGACTCTCAGCTTCTATCCCAAATGAGGTCATCAATCTATCCTTTGGAAACAACAGGAAGGGGAGGAGTCTGCCCACTGTTGCTCTGGTATCCTCTGCCTGGAGAGGCAATGATTTCCTTTGACTCAATTCAACACTTACCAAAGAACTAGCATGTGCAAATCACCTTGGGAGGTTCTGGGGCTTTTGATTTTGCTTAGAAAAAAAAACCCCGACAACAAAATTTAAATATCCTCACTCCCAGCAAATTATCAAAGATGACAAAAAGATGAGAGTCATTGTTAGAGGGATTTAGGAAAGACTGGGACACAAATATAGTTTGTGGAGCAGTGAATTGGGCTAACAATTCTGGAAAGCAACTTGGAATTATGCTAAATTGAGTAAATTACACTATACTAAACTGACTAAATTACTACTAATTACACTAAAGTGACTAAAACATCCATATCCTTTGACTCAGATTCTACTGCTAGGCATATACTCAAAAAATCATGAAGACAGAAAGAAGGACCTTTATACATTAAAACATTTATAGCAGTGACTAAGCTCCGGCCTTTGAGTCAGGAGGACCCGAGTTCAAATCAGACCTCAGACACATGACACTTACTAGCTGTGTGACTCTGGGCAAGTCATTTAACCCCAACTGCCTCACCAAAAAGGCAAAAAAAAAAAAGAATTGGAAAGAAAGTAGATGCCCATCAACTGGGGAACATAACCCATTAACTGGTAAACAAGTTGTAGTACATGGATTTAATACAATATTACTGTACTGCAAGAAACAAATAAAATGAATTCAGAGATGCACCGAGGACTTCTATGGAGGGATGAAAAATGAAGTAAAACAATATGCACAATTATGACAGTGTAAATGGAAAGAAAATAACAAACCCCTTCAAAAATAAATGCTGTATGTTAACAGTGATTAAGCTTGGCCCCAAAGAAGGGATTCAAGAATGTACCTCCCTCCTTTTTATGTAGAGGTGGGGGACTATGAATATGGAACAATGCATACATTGTCAAATACACACATTGTCAGACCTGGCTGATGAGTTGGTTAGTTTTGCTGAACTTTTCTTTTTCCTTTCTATTATATTCTGTGTTACAGAGGATGGCTCTCCTGGGAGGAAGAGAGAGATTTTGAAACAAAGGTGGTGAAAAGACAAAATTATCAATAAAAAATTTAGAAAGAAAAAAGCTAAACTAAAAAAAGTTCAGATAAAACATAATTTCCTTATGGAGCTTACTATTTAGTAAAGGTATAATAACCACTAAGCAATAACTATTACATAAAATCACAACCTCTTAATAAATTTTAGCGTTTGGAGCACTGCTGGTGGCTCAGAAAGGTTAAGTGACTGGTCTCTCATTACATAGATAGTAAATGTCAAACGAAGGGTTTCCGTCTGATTCCTGGTTCTGAACTATCCAATAAGCAGGTAGCTTCTCTACAGGTAACTATGGTATACAAGAATACATAAGTACATTAGAAAGAGGTTTAAAACTAAGTGCCATGAGGGAGTAGGATTCAGTGGAAAAAGTCCTGAAGAAACCGGTGATCCTCACACTTAGCTAGCTGTGACCACAGGTAAGTAGTTTCTCTGAGTCATTTTCCTCATCTATATGTAGCCACCTTCATATATGATGGCGATAATCATACTTGTACAATTTAGCTAACGGGGCTATGGCGAGAAATGTTCTTTATAAACCTTAAAGTGTTTAAATAAGCAGGGGCTTACTATTACTGCTAGCTAGGGAATGTCTTGACTCGATGACGTGACTTGATATTATACGTGAGGGTGAGGGGATAGTTTCCACATTTGTCCTGAAGAGTCAATGTAACAATGGATGCGAAAAGACTGTAAGCTGAAAAGCTTGTACAGGAGTGAAGGGCTGCTTCCTTTCCACCTGTGCTTGAAGGCTCAGATTCAATCTCACCTCTTCCGGGAGGCCTTTCAGCCAGCTTCAGCGCACACTAGTTCATGGAGTTGCTATAGCTCCTTA